GTAAAAATTGTCCCAAGGTTACGATTAAACTATTAGCCATTTTCAAGAATTATTTTTTTTCTATACTATAATAATAAATAGTGTATAAATGGTATTGTAGACCGTATAAAAGTTGCTGAAAAGTAGACATTTTTAATTTTCAAATACGGCCAGTACATTCTGGCCGTGTTCATAATTTAGAAGAAAAGCCTATCCTTTTTGTAAATATTAAAGTTGAAAAACGCGAATGTTTATGGTGACGTGAAAATTTTACAAAGGAAGTATGTAGTGGGGCGTTTTGGAATGGGGGAATGGTTAATGAGCTTGTCTCGTTGACCATTACACCTGAGTAATCTGTTCATTGGGCGTTCCGTACTTGTGGCTTAGTGTCAAATTAAACTAAGTTTAGAAAATAACAAAGAAGAAGAAAAAGAAAGAGAGAGGGGGCGAGGGAGATTACAAACTTTGTACATTTTAATATTGGTCTTGTGCCAAATTGCTGTATCGATATTTACACGGTCGCACGAGTTAGAGTCCCACCCCCAGTGAAATTCGAACTCACTAGCAAATGTCTGCGAGATTAATTTGCTAGCGATTACTCTACGGTAGGCGCCCTTCGTTTATTTAACTTGTTTGGTACAGTATAGCACGAGAAAAAATGGGAGTAGAAAGATTGTGTAGCACCAGTCTTCCAAGTGGTTAGAAGCTGCCTGCCTTGTAGATCAATATTCAAAATGCTTTATCCGAGATTGAACACCGATCTATCGCAGTGTTGGAAAATAAATATCTATTTCAGCTTAGAGACAAGACAGATCGTATAGATTAGTGGTTAATGCATTGAGCATTATGGAGAAAGGCCTTTTTTCCATTTCACCCCAAGCGAGCCAATAAAGCCACTAAGGCGCAAGTATGAAAAAATATGAGAAAAAGAATAATATAATTATGGAGTTATAGCAATAAAAGAACAGGATTCAAGAAGACAGAAGATAACGATTGACATTGTATTTAATTTTTTGAAAATCAAAGTAGACTCGAAAACAAAAAGCCAGGAAGAGAGTTCCACAAGCGAGAAGTACGAGAGAAGATATTATAAGCATAGAAGTTACGGTTACGTGTAGGCATTTCAACAATAAAATGGTGAAACCAAGCTGTTAATCTAGTTTTACTTTTTTTTTATTTTACCCCGTAGGGTTGTAGGGACACCATGTGTATTGCAGCCACAGTAGAAGTGATGTTTCTTGGGAAAGATAACCTGACGGAGCCCAACCCTCTCCAGTCAGGTTTTGAATTCAGAGTTTTCCCTTTTCTTAGACCGGTTACCATGCAAGGTTATAGATCCTATTCTGTCCTGCTATTTACCCATGGGGTATTAGCACGTAAGAGAATGTAATGAATCCGACTGGAATTCGAACTCTTATCTCCGATTCCTCAATCCAAGCCGCTCTCTATTACTCCACCTCCACCTCATCTAGTACTAAACTTAAACTCATAAAATCGATGTACTAAGGAGGAAAGCTAACCAGGAAAATTACCACGAAAATATGTATAGAAAAGGCATAGGGGCCAGTGTGAAAATGACTGAAGCTGAGATGCAAGGGCAGGACCGATATCATTGCAGATTCTTCTTTAGATTTTATCAAGAATCACTAAATACATAGAAAAAGCACCAAAACCAGATATGACAGTAAGGTTAAATGTATGGACAAAATGCAGACCTGTTTATGAAATGTTCTCTGACCTGTTCACTAATGAAAAGAATGTGGTTTTTCTTCAATTTCAAACGAGAGCACAAATGCATTTTAAATCGACGATTCTAAAAAGGATGTCTTCTATTTTTATCTTCCATTTAAGTCGGACGATTCAAGTAAAATACAAGACAAACTAAATCTATTTACACTATTTATATTGTTCAGACTGTTGTCTTCGTTTTTATTGTAATATTCACGTTTCGACCGTAATACGCTCCAGCCTTCTTCAGGATCTGTCTATATTTCTGAGATGAGGTACAGTAAATATTTATACTATTTACATTGTTGGAACAGTTGTCCTCATCTTTATTGTCATATTCACGACGTTTCGGCCGTTGTACGCTCCGGCCTTCTTCAGGATCTGTCTATATTTCTGAGATGAGGTATTGTAATTATTTACATCATTTACTTTGTTCGGACTGTTGTCCTCATCTTTATTGTCACATTCACAACGTTTCGGCCATTGTACACTTCTTCAGGTGATATTTGTTGGATTTTCGAACCGAACACTTTATTTAATTCACGGGGGTAGATTCTTCTAATTCCAGTTGAGAGCTGAGTTTTCAAGTTGAATTAATTTCAGTTTTAGTTAATTCAACTTGATAACTCAATTCTCCAACTTTTGTTTTCTCTGATGAGGATTGATGTCACAAATATTTGGGGTCAAGTCACTTTTTGGATCACTCAACCAACGCTCTTATCCACTGGCCCATGTGTTCTTTGGAGATATCAGTGAATGTCTGATGGGATTTATAAAAACCTACTCCCCTCCCTTGTGTTAGATAAAGGGTTCGATCGAAATCCCAACAAATATCACCGGAAGAAGTGTACAACGGCCGAAACGTCATGAATATGGCAATAAAGATGAATACAACAGTCCGAACACAGTAAATAGCGTAAACATTTACAATAGCTCATCTCAGAAATATAGACAGATTCTGAAGAAGGCCGGAGGGTACAACGGTCGAAACACGTCATGAATATGGCAATAAAGATGAAGACAACAGTCCGAACACTGTAAGTAGTGAAATATTTACAGTGGTGTCTCATCTCAGAAATATAGACCGATCCTGAAGAAGGCCGGAGCGTACAACGTCCGAAAAACGTTGTGAATAGGGCAATAAAGATGAAGACAACAGTCCGAACAATAGTGAAATATTTACAGTGTCTCATCTCAGAAATATAGATAGATCCTGAAGAAGGCCTGAGCGTACTAAGACTGAAACGTCGTGAATATGGCAATAAAGATGAAGACAACAGTCCGAACATTGTAAATGGTGAAATATTTACGATAATATTTACGAACATTTCACTGCAGACGAGGTATTGAGCACTTTCTAAAATCTTCCACAATTGCTCGATTTCGGGGTAGACTTTATCTCGTACTCTTTCAATTCTACGTCATTTTATTTCCCATGACTTTCTTCCCGTGTCATTCCATTTTAAATTTTCACATCATATTAACATCAGACTTGCTTTTTCCTTTCAAATTACTTCAACTGCACGCCATTAAATTTCAATTCTTTAATTTCAACAATTCTCATTTCTATACCATTTCATTCCAAATCCCATAATTTCCATGAACTTGCCTGTGAATATCTCATTGTATATATATATATATATATATATATATATATATATATATATATATGTCAGGAGTCGGCAACCTTTTGCTATAAGCCGACTTAGGGTTTTAAAACCATTCTGTGTGTTTTTGTTTTCGTTTTTTGTTTTTCACCATAAGCAAAGCGATAATGCCACTAAGACGCAAGGTAGTAGTACCTGCTAGGGTCCCAGCTATGGACAAATAGTTACCCCAACAAACAAACAAACAAACAAACAAACAAACAAAATGTTAAGAACACTATGAAAGTATAAAAATAGATTTTTATAGTAAAAATGCCACTAATAAATTAAAAAAAATCTACCGGCAATATATTTGTCTCTCGACTTCAGAATAATACATCAATGAAATCTGATTTCTTACAAAGAATACATATTCTATTCAAACGAATCTATCCTAAAAATCTTGTAGGCATTAAATAACCCATTGTGGTTGATATGCGTAAAACAGAATAAACGCAAAGACCTGATCTACAAACTGATTTCTTACAAAGAATACATATTCTATTCATACGAACCTATCCTAAAAATCTTGTAGGCATTAAATAACCCATTGAGGTTGATATGCCATAAAACAAAATAAATCAAACCAAACCAAACTGACTTGACTTATAAATCTTGCACAGGGTATGATTGAATTCAGCTGTTGTTTGTAAAATGCCGCGTGTGACTCAGTTGCATGAGAACGAAAAATTATAAGATGTGAGCGAAATTTTCGGGCGTTTTTTTTTACTCTTATTAACTCTTTGAGCCCTGCGTTCCTGAATAATTTTTAATTCTTCTGCCTGGGCTCCTGAGTCAAAATTCCCAAATAATTGACATGTAATGTTTCACAGCAAATATAAAAATTGTTACAAGTGTTTACCCATCGTTCAACCGGTGGCTGGGCATTTTTCTCTACCACCGGTAAAGCGGTGCTCAGAGCTCAAAGAGTTAAAATTAATAAGGATGTGGCTTATGGGTGTGCGCGTAGCGTAGCATTTATCGGCACAAAAAGTGAAAATGGCATGTCGAGTTCAAATTCTATCCGAGTCCGTTGCGTTCACTTTCACACAAGCACACGTGGAAAAAATTTCTATATCTTCTTCCTCATGGTTTAATTATAATTTTCTTTCTTTTTTATTTAAGAATTTATCAGTTTATCCGCTTTAAACAGGGTTCATCGAAATTGTGGTTTTTTCAGTGGAATTACATCATTATTTTGTTTTTTCGTCTTTTGATAAAAATTTTTAACATGTCTCCTCTTTTTCATAATTTTTACAATAATCTTCACCCTGTACAAGGCCTAAGAGCCACTTGAAGTAGAGGGTTACAGAATAAGAGGCACAGATTATGGGGATAAGAGGGGAAGATAACGGTTAACCTAATACTTGAACATTGATTAATTGATTGATTCGTTTTTTACGGATTATCAACCATTTGCAGCGAGGAAATATCCTTATATTGTTAGAATTTTGGGAAGGAGATGATAATTAGTTATCGATACAAGTCTTACTAATTAACCCATAGCTGGGTGGAGAAAGGTAGGTACATATTTTTCCCTTGGGTATTTGCGTATAAGTGAATCTAACGAACCCAACTGGAATTCGAACTCGGTTCTCGATTAACAATTCCGAGCCATTATCCATTACACCACCCGCACACCTTAACTTACATCCACCTGGTATTCCCAAGCGCTTGCCCATCTGGGTACTGTGCAGGCTCGACGTTGCTTAACTTCAGTGTGCAGACGGGAAATCGATTCTGTGATTAACAATTCCGAGCCATTATCCATTGCACCACCTGCACATCCAAGCTTACAGCACCTGTTATTCCCAAATGGTTACCCATCTAGGTATGGGTCAGGCTCGACATTGCTTAACTTTGGTGATCGTACGGAAACTCTACTCTCCGATTAACAATTCCGAGCCATTATCCATTACACCACCCGCACATCCAAGCTTACAGCACTTGGCATTTCCAAGCGATCACCCCTCTAGCTACTGACCAAGCTCGACGTTGCTTAACTTTCGTGATTGCATGGGAACCGGTGTTTCAACGTGATGCAGCCGTAAGCCTAGACTTGAACAGTTTAAGAGTGTAATGATCGAGGGAGCATCCTCTTGGGAGTCGGTTTCACAATGTTCGTTAGAAGAAGCTGCTCGGATAGAACTTACATCTCACCAATCGAATACGAAAGGAATGGGCGTGATTTGCTACACTAGGTATGGTCATAGCGGTGGGTCTTAGCCGTGAGGGTTAGAACTGCTGGAACTAAGGAATGTAGTTCGTCTGAGTACTTTCCATGGAAATAGCTATAGGGCAGCGAGAGGCTTGCGATGTTTCGTCTGTGGGAAAGTGTTTATAGAATGGATGGAAATAATCCATCACTCACAAGGACGCGGAGACGCTTTTGAATTTTATCAAGACAGGAAAGTGAAGAGTGGGTATATTTAGGTAAATGAAAACTGAATACAGAAACCGGTTTATAATTGTGCATTTACACTGTAGCTTACAAAAAAAAAAACAAAAAAGCAAAAGAAAACAAAAAAAAAAAACATGGCGCATGAAACATTTGATCATGCGCTATACATCGTCAGAGAATTCAAAGTATTCATTAGAAATGTTTTTTGGGAGAAAAAGACTGTCCGTAATATTTTAACATGATTCTAATTCCAAGGTGGAATTTTTGTGGCCAGATGTGTCATTTGAATGGAGATCAGACAGTCGGGAAAGTGATAGATAGATAAATAGATAGATAGATAGAAAGAGAGAGAGAGAGAGAGAGAGAGAGAGAGAGAGAGAGAGAGAGAGAGAGACAATGTGGTGAAGGAGGAGATTAAACAGAAGCCAGGGCACTGGAGAGAGAAGATATGTGAGAGTGAAGAAAAAAGTAGGGGAGGATCTAAGGAAACACACCCACAGAGAGAGAGAGAGAGAGAGAGAGAGAGAGAGAGAGAGAGAGAGAGAGAGAGAGAGAGAGAGAGAGTATGAAATGTAAAACGTTAAGGAGAGCGAGAATATGTGGAATATGTAGATTAAAGACGGAAAAGTGAGGGACAAAGAGGGAGAGAGAGAGAGATGTGAGAGTAAAAGGACTGGAGGGCGAGGAGATAATGAAAGAGAGGAGGTGGGGGTGAGATAGAGGAAGGAGGAGAGAAAGAGGGAAAGAGACAGAAAAGCACGGGGGTGTCGAAATTTAATTTAAGATCACGTGAGCATTGTTCGAAAATAATTGTTCTGAAAACATTTATTCGAATTGTAAATTGTTTGAATGAAAATTAATCAAAAAGACAATTATACTAAATGATAATTATTCGAAATGCAAATATTGTTAATAAAACAATTTATGAAGAAATAACCCTTATAACCTTAAGTTATATGATACTGCAAGCAAATAGTCAACTACTGAAGAGGACTCGTTAAAAGATACCTCTAATTTTTTAAGGTTTTCCATTTACGTCGAGGTATTTCATGGCGCCTTATATTTTGACAACCTTTTCTTACTTTTGCAATATGAATTTCTTGCAAGTCCTGTTCTCTTTTATGAGCGTCTAAGAATTTCCATATTGTGGGATGATGGGATGACACTTGCTGCAAAAAAGCCCTCTGCCATCCTTCAAGGGCGTTATTAGTTCTAGGTAAATCAGCATTGATTCTCTCAAAGCAATACCACATACGCATTTCAAACATAGGTATTTCGAATAATCATCATTTAGTATAATTATCCTTTCGATTAAGTTTCATTCAAACAATTTACAGTTCGAATAAATGCTTTTTGAATAATTATTTTCGAACAATTTTCTCGATACGGATTTTAACATGCACAAAAGCAGCAAAAAAAGAAACAATTGATAAAGAAAATATTTGACCAATTTAAAAAAAAAGAAGAAATATTAGCCCTAAAGTTGAACTTGAAAGTGTCTTAGTTAAGAGACTTGCTGATCAATCTTCACTGAGCCCAATTGATGTTTAAGCCCAAGCTTAATTCCAGGTAATTGACCAATGAAATTTGAAATATTTTCTGTTCGTTTGGCTGTTTGTGTGTCTTTCTGCCTCTCTCTCTCTGTCTTTCTCTCCCCACTTTCTCTCTCTCTGACACATACACACAGATACACACATATTTTTCTGAAAGAAAAGTGACCATCACAAAGAATGGTGTTGGGTTAAAATCAAATCGTTTCTGCAACAGGGAAACAACCCAAATTTGAAGTGTAAATAAGTGTATAAAGTGTATAAATCGATAAGATTAAAATGCATGCAAATGCTTTTTACGTGCATTATTTACTTTATTCGGACTGTTATCCTCATTGCCCTGTTCACAACGTTTCGGCCGTTGTACGCTTCAGCCTTCTTCAGGTGATTGGAATTTCGATCCGAACCCTTTATTTCGTTCCCCGAGGTAGATTGTTCTAGTTCCACTGTCATGCCTCTCCCGGATGTCTCAGCTATTTCCCTTTAATTCAACTCTCCAAGTTTTGGGTCCTCATTGCTGTGGCCTGGTACTGAACTTACAACTCTTTGGGTCTAGTCACTGGATATAACCAACGTCTTTATCCACTGGGCCATGTGTCCTTGAGAATATGGCCATGAAGATGAGGATAACAGTCCGAATAATGTAAATAATGCAAATAATCATAACACCCCATGTCAGAGAATTTTTACTTGAATGATTATATATATATATATATATATATATATATATATATATATATATATATATATATATATATATATATATATTTAGTTGGATATATTATAGTTTGTGACCATGGGTTTCACGCTCTTGCTATCCTCAGATAAACTGATTAATTTTAGAATTTTGAATCTATGGTTATCCAAGTATACTGAGCTCTTTACAATAAATATCACGCATTAGTATATATATATATATATATATATATATATATATATATATATATATATATATATATTAAAAGTTAAAGATGTAGATCAAATATGGATCGGAACCCGACTGGATAATAAGATAAAGAACAAATAGAAAACGTATACCAATCTAACATGTTTCATTTTATTAAAGCAACATCAGAGATTGAGAGAAAATACCTTTTGTCTGTTTTATCTCTATCTCTATAGAAGCTTCAATAAAAATGAAACACGTTAGATTGGCATACGTTTTCTATTTGTTCTTTATCTATCATATATATATTTATATTTTATATTTAAAATAAACGGTTTTTAATGGTAGTTTTAAATATATATATATATATATTAAAATAAACGAACCTAAAACTATAAAAAAAATCATTATGAAAAAAAAAAAAATTTAAATAGATTTATATTTTATATTTAACTTTATGTTAAATATAAAATATAAATCTATTTAAGTTTTTTGGGGGATTTTTGTTTTTTCTTTAATTTTGTATAAAAATAAACGGACTTAAAACTAAAAAGCTAATAAATACTTTGTATTTAAAAATCTATTTTAAATATATATATATATATATATATATATATATATATATATATATATATATATATATATATATATATATCGTTTCGAGTACGAAACTGAAGCTAGCAAGTCAATTAAATTCGTAGAAGTCTTTACGAGTAAGACATGCTTTCTCTAACAGACAATTCTAACTTAGTAGAATTGGTAGAGGCACACTTTGGTTTCTCTGAGGTAAAAAAAAAGGGATAAAGGTTCGATTCCTGTCGGAGACACAATATTTCTTTAATAGGACATTTCAGTCTTGACCAGTTATTAATTTCACTGTTTCATAAAATAAAATAAAAAATCCTCTAAATATATATATATATATATATATATATATATAGCGAAAATAAGAAAATCAGCAGACGATTACTGAAACGTCCTGACGAGTGGATCGGACGATTAGCCAAGGATTCGTCTACGAAACTATGGAGTAGAGATGATGAATATAACCTCAATGACAAATTTTATATTCGTATTAATCCTATTAATGCTCTATTTCTGATATCGAACATTTTATTGCAAAGACCCTTTACCCTTAAATGCCTTTTCTTTCAGACTTACAATGACTGACAGCATTTCTGGCTTCACATAATCTTTGTTTTCACTATATATATATATATATATATATATATATATATATATATATATATAGAGAGAGAGAGAGAGAGAGAGAGAGAGAGAGTTCGCCCTAAAAAAATGTATACACACTTCAGGAAAGGAAAGAGTAGTTTTATCAAATTTCGATAACACTGTGTTAAATAATAGTTTAGCAGATTATTATTGTTTAGAGGAGTTATATTTCTGCTCGGACACCCTGAGTTTAACCTTAGAGGTCTGATGTAAGACAAAATAAAGAAGTGGATTTTGATTGGTTGAACGGCCGTAAGACCGATAGATAGAAAAAGGCTTTTTGGTGGGTTGTTTCTAAACCGTCAAGCAATGGAGACAGGTTTCCTTTCCTGTCTGAAACGGATCCCTAGTGGAGGGAGAGCGACCCCACTGGATGGTTAAGGATGAATAAGTCAACGTGTCTTATAAAAAGCTAAGTTAAAAGAGCTTCCCAACACGAGGGAGCTATACAACAACTGTCATACATGAACTTTATGGAAATGATTAATTTTTCTTTCAACAAAACGGCGCACCATCATACTAGGAAAAGGTTCAGTCGAGTTCCCCTCCACGTTCTCCTGATTTAACACCTCAGACTTTTATCTATGGGGTACCCTAAAGGATGTTGTATATTACAAAAAACTAACTACATTGGCGGCTCTTAGACAAAAAAAATTAAAATGCATGTGCACTTTGCCAACATTCCCTAAGCATTAGTTCACTATACTAATAAATGTCTGGAAGCTAAAGGCCACCATTTTGAGCATCTCTTGTGATTGTAGAGTTCAAAGGTAACTTGTATTAATTTCGTTATGTCAGAATAAATTTAGTATTACAATATCTATAAAGTTTTCCCTTTACTGAAGTGTGTATACGTTTTTTTTTGGCGGACCCTATATATATATATATATATATATATATATATATATATATATATGAATAAAAACAAAAGGAAATTTTTTTTGCTGACGTGTTTCATCTTCTGATGGACTTTATCAAGGCAAATGTAAGGATTTGTAACACGTATTTACAAACAGAAATAAAAAATATCGTTGGTTTAAATTATTTTTTAAATTTAAGAACGCTTATAAATACACTTAAAGGTTATCGGAAAGCCAAGGTAAACGATGTGATGTAATTTAATGCCTAATATTGCATTTGTCTTGAATTCCATTAATGGGTGAAACGCGTCACTAAATTAAAGTTTTCCTTTTGTCTTTATTGATATTGTCTTTTTACAAATATTTAGTTTTATATATCTCAATTTTTATACACACATATTCTTGTCTGTCTCATTACGTTATTATCGATCTCCCTTAAGTATTGTGAACATAAATTTCTTCTAAATATATATATATATATATATATATATATATATATACATACATACACACACACACACACACACACACACACACATATATATATATATATATATATATATAGTCATCAACAAACAGCAGCTTGTTTCGCTGTATCACAGCTCATCAGTGTGGCGTGTGGCTAGACATCCGATTGCTTCAAGGCGGGATCGAAACTCGACCGATTTGATATTAGTCACAGACTCTTACCCCTAGGCCAGAGAAAGGAAATTTTTAATGCATTATATACGTGTTATATAAACGCCATGCCGGCTGTCATAGTGTTCAATTCTTACGAAGAGCGAAGCATTAAAGCAGCAGCAACAGCCGTTAAAAAATCCATTTTCTCCATTGTGCTTGATCGGTCAACGAGAGCATAAATAGTCACCCACAAGTAAAAATAGATAACAACAAGCCGCGGCAATTTGTTTCGCGCGTGAATGCAATTTTCACCCCATGTGTATTGCGTTTTGGCTCAACTATTTATGTATGCTGGTCAGTCGTTTATAATAGATCGTTAGATCGATTGTACATGGTGTTCCAAATGTCGTATTACCATTAATAACCATGTAAATCTTATATTTGTCAAATAGAATCATGTTCCTGTATAGGTCAATATATTATGAAGAAATTTTAATGGTCGAATGATGGAAGATGATGTCATGCA